CGAAATACGACCCCCCCCCCCACTCCTTGTTGGACTTTGTCCAACGCAAGGTTGACCCTGGCCGCGCGGTTTTCACGGCTTCTCAGTGTTTAGTGGCTTCCGTCGCCTGCAAGTAGACAGCATTAATCACACTTTGTTAAACTCAAGCCGAGTGCTCTCAACTTATTATTAAAAAACGCATCCCAACCTATCAAAAACATTCTGGACTATCAAAATCTATGAGAAGCTTTCTGGACTAAGTACATCACAAGAATTTTCCATGAGAACCTTGTCAACGATTCGAACTTAACTAGTCCTTGACGGATCATGGACCATTAGGATTATGTGAAGTGCTCTATTCAGAGATACTGTTCCTAGGACGCAATCTGTCAGTGGTCAAAATGTTTTGTAGCAGCTCCGGACTGGGATGATAATGGTAGATCTTCTGCTCCACTGTGATGGAAGATGACGTCGTTTTGTGGACGGTGAGGGCAGTGGAGAGAGCCTGCTTCTGGGAGGATATCTAGGAAATAATCTGAAACAAAACCTCCATTATTAGCGGCGGGCCTGTGCGATGAAAAGTTTGATAATGTGGCTATGGGCAAAGTGTCTTTTTTGGCTCCCCTGTATAGTAAAATAAGGGACACTTATGGTTAGTCGGAGTCGACGATTGCCTAGCCCCACGTTTTGTGGAAGGCTCACTCAATTGAATATCCCCCACGACGACATGAGCACCCACAGCTCGCTTTACTAGTTTATTTCGTACTTATCTTAGGCTTGCAACAGTTTTTTTTCAGCTTTATGGTGATGACACTGTGTGGAAAAGATCTCATGTCTTTGAAACGACAAGCCGGTAAACCCTTCTCGGAAAGCACTATACTACGGCTCGCTATTAGTACGCTTTATGCCATTAAACAGGTACTACATCCCTACTTGTGTCCAGGCATAATGCATGAAAGTTGTGCTGTTTTGATCTAATCTTTTATAATAGAGGAAAAACCAAATAAATAACTCCTAGAAAACATACGAACCAGCCGTCATCAATTGGTGACTTTATCGGTCACCGCTGGTGGGAAAGTGGCAATAGGCTAAGCTCGTTATCGAAACGCTACCATAGCACGGGCCTCAAAAACAGCTAAGACAACGACTTCGTGGAAATTAATCGAGAGCGAATGTGCTTGGCCCATGGAAACTACATTTCTAGCAGGACATTTTTTCTGACAAAATTTGGTGAAGTAGGGAGGATTTATTCTGGGATCAGATACCGCGGATTATCGACCCTTTTCTTTCTTCATCCCACCATCTTTTCTCAAGTAGGAATTTGTGGAAAACCTACTATGTGTTTGGCTTCCATCTACATCACCTATCTAACAATATAACGAGTCATTAAGAATATTTGAATTTACTTATTGGTGGGAACATACCTTTTCATTTACAAGCTCTTTCATAAGCGCGTGTGACTGGTGCGCTCTGATAAACTCCCTAGGATGACTCCCGTCAATGTTTGGACGGCGTTGTTCTCGGCGTTAGGATCTAATAGAAGATATTTTCGTGTCTGCCAATGGCTTCACAAAAAACAACCTTTCCAGCTTCGTCTCGAAAGTGTGGGGAGTGGCGCTTCGCGCTAAGAGGGGTTACAGACGAATACTACAGTAAGGTCAAAGGTTTAGCGTTATCGCACGGGTACTCCATGCTCTGTGTCGAGCTGTTCCTGGAACAACAATTACAAATTCCTATTTTTGCCCAATTCTGACATCAATTGGCCGGTGACATTCGCGAACAGCGCTGTTCTGTCCCCCGAAAGGATTATTAGTAACCTAATACCAGACCATGCTTTCAAAGGGACAGTACGCCATCTCAAATGTTTAGTGGTTCGTGAGTACTTCTTGTCGTAATCGGAATGGTGAATTGTCCGTGAATTTGTTCAAAAGAAACACCAAGGTGCGAAGACGACTTCAGTGCAGGAAAAAATTTGGAAAGAAAAGTCATGGAGATGATGGCCTCTCCCTGTTAGGTTTGACGTAGGACGACCGAGAGACATTGCGCGCCGGGTAGAAGGGACATGAGAGGGACCGCGTCGTATGAGAGAGCGCAAACACCTAGCCGTTACCTTTGCATAAACGCATCACTACGTTGTAAAGTGGAAGGCTCTTCGCCCGTAATTTGTATCAAATCACCAACTTTTCGGGTTTAGAATCCAATTTTTCCAAAATGTTGGGGTTTGTGAAAGTTTTTTTCTGAAAGAGGTTCCCAAATTTAACATAAGGTTTAGCGTTTGCAAAATCTTAATTAGCATTCAAATAAACGAGTGCTTTCGTAGCTATCGCGGGGTTACCTTCGATAACCCACCAGTAAGACGACACAGTGGATAAAACATTTATTTAAGTTACTTGACCCGGCCAAAGGATTTGGAGATATTCTTGTACCGCTTGAAAAAAAAACGGTTATTTCAAAGCTTGAGAATGTGACCTTCCAATTTCATGATTCTTCACATTGCGCTCTTCTCTCACGGCTCCACCGAAATTGGTTATGTTCATCGGGATATTAAGCCAGGAAACTGTATGATAGGAAAATATGGTCGCGATTCGCGAATGATATATCTGATTGACTTCGGTAACTGCATCGATTGATTCTTTTATATTTGATCGATAGATTTCGTCTTCTATTTACAACATATGAAAGGATGGCGAAGAGCCCAGCCATAGTCCGTGGGCTTACCCACAAAGGAGGTCACGTACGGCCAAAGAGGTAAGATTGGGCAGTGGAAAAGGGGTCGAGATACGAGTATTGTCGCCAACGCTTCATGGTACCGGATCATAGTCCTACCGTGAGGCCCAGATTATCCATTTCTCTAGGGCCGCTTAACTTATCTCGGACTTGCCTGGGAGGTAAAACGCATTTCCTCCACGGTTGCTCCCTAGTCAGTACCTGTTGTAAATGAAATTTGTAAAAGAAGCGGTCTCTCAAAGTTACCTTTGGACTTTGTAATTGAATTTCAGTTAACAGGTCAGAATAGTGCGTGCTGTCACGGTCCCGCTACCTTTTAAAAAGCCCATGTCTGATCTTTCGAGTGAGGTCATTCACTTGAAGGAAGCGATTACGATGAAGAGGGAGCGCATCAGGGGAAACGTATGCAACACGAAGCAGACTTGGCTGCCAAGGAGGCGAAAGGTGGCGGCTTTCCACAACCAAACGTGCGTCGGTTGCTGAGCAGGACTTCGAAAGCACTTCGCCCCCCAAAAGCGATCCGCCCACCAGTTTACTTGTTGGTTTGAACGAGCTGCTTAGCCAACACTGGCGCAGACGGAGCATCTCGACTGAGGCTTCATTTGGCAGTGGTGACGTCGAACGCGTTGCGGTGAACTCGTTCTGAACTCCACTGTCACTTTTTATTAGGGCTGTGTATTGGTGATGAGTGAAGATTCAACGGCCAAAAAAAAGGTCCCGATTTGCTGTTTCAGACCGACTTTTCTGCGTGTTCCTTTTCGGCCACTGATTGTACATTACCAACACGTACACATTAACCCTTCTGTGAACATTTCTATCTTCGTAATCCTCTCTTTGAGTCGTCAGTTGTTCAACTTTTGATACAGAGCTAATTTAGTCTCTTCACCTTTGATGGTAAAGCCACGAATGCGGGGACGTTATTCATCCTCTACAACCAATTCTGTGCCATCCGAATCTCCTATATCGAAGCCATGAGATTGCGGTACCTACGATGGAATCCATCAGGGATTAAATCGCTGGAACATGTGTGCAATGGCACCACTTGCCATTTCCCCACTCCCGAACTACAGGAATTCAAATGTTGCAGGTATGGCACGCTCATTCGTTGCTAAGGACGAAAACGGCAAGCTTGCTATTCGAAAGCCACGTGACGGCGATCAGCTTTTCCGAGGCACTCCGAGATACTGTAGTCTGAATACTCACTACAGAAAAGAGCAGGTAGGAGGCCTACCCGTATTTTCTCTTCATAGACTGAAATAAAAGGAAAAATCATATGGCAGGGTCGGGTTGACGACTTGTGGTCATGGCTTCATATGCTTATCGAGCTTCACATTGGGCTGCCGTGGAATCGTATAAATGATGAAAAAGCCATACTCGCTCAAAAAGAAAAGATCACACCAAAGGACTTAATACGAGTAAGTGGCTAGTATAATCGATACATATTAAAAACATATTATTAGACGGTCGTTGCCTTTTTAGACTTGTCCAGATGAATTTTATAAGATACGCGATTACTTAGAAACGTTGAAGTACGAAGATCGGCCAGACTATCATGGACTTTTTAGTGAGGTTAGTCACATGAAATGGCTCTTGAAACCAGGATCAACCGTCCTTTGTTCCAATTTCAGGAACGACCTTTCTTGCCTCCCACTCCTCATGGAGAAGCCCCAGCACAACCCTCCATCAATATAGGCCGGGGGTACACCTGCACGACCCCCTAAAAGTCTCCGCACACCACCCCAAACACCCAGATTTCTACCCAGAACTGTGTTCCGGAGACCACTCGACACACTCCAATTGCGCCCAAATTTACCTCCCAAACTGCCGTCGAGTGGAGTACGCCGCTTTTGTTCTACCCATTCCATTTATTTTTCTGAAAAATTGTGAAAAGAACGTCAAAAAGGCACCCTCCCTCTACGACGCAACAAGACACCCCAATTTCCACCACTATGACTCCTACTCTCTGAAAACCGCAAATACCTCTCCTGGAACTTGGAACAACTGAGTTTGAATACTAGTTCTGTAAGAAGTTATTCTTTTGAAGACAGATTTCATGAGTCGAGGTGAACCAACCCCCTTATTCAAATCGGATGGAACTGTCCACAATGATGTAGATGTGCTGTTGAGAGAAAGACGTGGGAAATGTGGGGGTACGTGGAATCCTCTGCTAGAAGGGCTCGCGGAGTTGTTCCGCGATGCAGCGATCTACGCATCAGGGTGTCTGCGTCTCGCTCGTTCTCCATGCTCTCCCCTGCATGTTCTCCCTTCAGCGCCCAGCTTTTCTGTGCAGAATTCGTCCACCACTCAAGAGAGGATCTAATTTTATGACTCCTGATCCTGTCTCTTTACAAGCATTTCATGTCGCATAAGTGCTATCTTTGAAGCTCTAATTGCGTTGTGGTGACGGAATAAACCTTCCACTCACACTGACAAAGCGATACTTCATGAATGCTGAGGCAAATTTCGCGAATAGGAAAACGAAATACTTCCTGTCGCACATAATCTTCATAAACCAAATGAATGAAGCACGCTACAATCCAGCTTCTTTCTGGAGCGCGCCACGCATTCGCCCTTCACTTGAAATTGCAGAAGCGTGTGGAACCGCGTTCCGGCTACTACAAGATATACTCATCATAAACCCAATTGTCGTCC